GGGGGCCGGGCCGGGGACCGGCAGTGCTGGGCCGGGCCGGGGGTGCTCGGGCCCGGGGCCGGCTCCCCAGGGCCCGAGCCGACCCAAGCTGGAGAGGCCGGGGGGGGCCAGACTGGGCCGTGCCTCCTCCCCCCACATCCCCTTACCTGCTTCAGGCTTCCCGCGAATCAAATGTTCGTGGGAAGCAGGGGAGGGGGCGGAGTTGGGGCGGGGACTTTGGGGAAGGGGCAGAGTTGGGGTGGGGGTGTGGGCGGGGCTGGGGGCATGGGCGGGGCCCCGTGGAGTGTCCTCCTTTTGGAGGCTCAAAATATGATAACCCTAGTAAGCCTACACTACAATTTTAGCCATGTTGGGAGGGCCCAGTTAGAACATAGCTATCTCCAAACCTGGATCCAGCACAGTTCTGTTTTGTAGGGAATGGTCCAGTGGGTGGTCAGTATGACTTGCAGTTACAGTTAATCTCCCATCTATACTATAAAATGGAACCATGTAGTAACCAGTCTGGGGTATCCAGATCCTCTGACATGGCTGAAGTTGCAACACAGTTAGGCCCTCAGATATCTCACTGCAACGTTGCGTATTGGTTGCAGAAATCACAGCTACTTGATAGATAATGAGTACTGAAGTCTGAAATTAGCTATCTTCATCCATTTAAGATACAAGCTGAAACTGCTGTGCTCGCAGTGGGGAGGAAAATGCATCTGGACCTTCATTCTTCGTAAACTAAAGAGTTTTGCTGGCATTACTTGCAGGAGCTGCTCACGTGTCTGGTGGAAAGAATTCATTAGCAACTACTGACTCAACTACCATCATCAATCACCCTGCACCCGTTGGCTCCCCAGCAATGCAAGTCAGCCTAAATGATATGAGATGCAATGTGTCAGACCTTCGGCTGCAGCTGCGTCAGATGAAGCAGCTACAGGTATGGTCACGTCCCTTCATTTGCATGAGCACATGTCCCAGTTTTGAAAGCCTTTTCCTGTGGATTAGAGTGTAAGACATTGTGCCTTTCAAAGCCTTTTCTTACTTCTGCTGCTTGTGTAAGTGTTGTTTTAAGTACTACAGCTATAGAGAAAAAGGAAAAACAAAATGCACAAAGACACAGGTACAAACAGTTATAACTCATGCACCTTTCACAAGAAAAGTATCTTGCTTGATAGTATTGGTCAGAGCCAGAAAAATAACTTCCTGTCTATTATTAGTAGTTATTAATTCAATATTTATAATACAGTAGTGTCAAAAGTCTCCAGGTAGATCAGGTCCCCATTGTGCCATACATAAACATGTATGAAGACAATCTCTGCCCTACTAAAGAGCTTATCTTCTAGTAGTTTTCACCCTCCTGAATGAACACTTCAGATGTGGGGAAGCCAAATAATAATTTTGGGTCTGTGAATGAGCTGTACAATTTTTAGATCAAAAGTAGGTGGCAACCTCCTCTAGGACAAAAAGAAAAAGAATCATGTAGTAGGAGCTAAGAAGACTGTTTCTGTTATAGTATGTCTGTATTTTACTAATGTTTTCATGACCTACGCAGTGTCAGCACTTCAGAGACAATGAGAAACAATTTGAGAGATTCTCAAATGTTACTGATGGCTGCAGATTTCAGTTCAGAAGTCCTAGCAGGCTATATGACACACACACTCATTGTACAGTATGTAAATACATACTGCTCACCCCAAACACTGTGGAAATATTTGTACAGTTCTTCAGTCCTTTGCCTAACTGGAAGTTGAAGGACAAATGCGGCATATATATTAGATAAATATTTCATCACAGGAAATGTACAATTTATTCTTGTAAATCAATCTGGATAGAGGAACAGCCAGCTAACATTCTACCATCAGGACACCCCACCTTGAAAGTGACCTCAAATCTTTTGCAATTCTGGTTTATTATTATAAAATAGAGTGATATGAGCACAGATTAGAATACACAGTATGCTCTGCCTTTTGCCCTCTTACCTAGACCGGAAGTGTAGTATTAGTGACTACTAGCTAAAGAGGGAAGAGGAGTGTCAGATTAATAATAGTAAAGAAAGTGCACCTGTGAAGGAAAAGGCCTTTGCTCAGCTTGCTGGAAAGGAGGAGATGGGATCAGGCAGGTGATCTTGTGTATGCTGCTATATCCATGTGCTTACTTTTTCATTTAGGCTTGAATAAATCCCTGGAAAACCAATGAATTTTAATATATTTCTTAATAGTGTTGCCCACCTATATCCGGATATCAACCTATCTTGTATACCAACCTGGACATTGTGTTACACTTCACTGTCTCTCTCCCAGGAAGTAAATTTGCATTATTCTAGCATATATATACCTTCCGGGGCAGCCTCTGAGAAAGGTTTCTAGGACTCCGCAGCCATTTATGACAAGTTACCCCCTCCATTTATTTCAGTGCATTTCTCTGAGTGGTCACTCCGGTAGTGACTGGGCATATTAACAATCCTGGGAGATCCTGTGTTTGAGATGTCCTATATGCTATTCACATAGACTGTTTTAAAATTACTATAATGGGAGATTCTCTGTCATAAGTTCACGGAATGCATCAGTTTTTTCCCTCATGTTCTTTAAACAGGGCTAACAGTTTTTCAGACAGATACTGGTTTAACCCAAAGAGGCACCCTCTGTTTACAGATCACACTTCTGTCTGAAAAGACATCAAAGGAAAAAAAGCATTTTCTCCCGTTTGTTTAGTTCATACATTTGACAGCACTTTGTGTTTTGTCAGTTTCACTATTTCTGCTGTACAGTCAGTCAGCTTCTTCTGTTGTTTGTGAGTCTTTCACATAGCAACAGAAAAAGAAATAATTCTGAAGGATTAGAAAAAATAATATTTATTTGTATTACCAGAGCACCTAGGAGCCCCAGTCATGACCAGGATCCCATTGTGCGAGGCACTGTACAAACACAGAACAAAAAGATAGTCCCTGCTCCCTAGAGCTTAACATCTGACAAGCACAAAAATTGGCATGTTGACTGAGGGACAGATGCAGTACTTGTAACATTTTTTTTTTTAAATTGGCACACCATCAACTCAGAATCTAGTTTTCAAGGTACCATTAATTAACATAATGGAGAGTCTGACCTATTTACAAGCAAGCTTCTTGATCACAACCCCATGCAGCTGCCAGAGCTGCCAATCATGGAGGCAGGCCCCCCCAGCTGTGACTGATAGAGGAAACAAGGCCTGCTGTAAAGGGAGAGTGCAGAGAAAGAAAAGGAGAAGAAAGGTGGCGACAGCTCTGTACTCAGGCTGTCTTCAAGAAAACAGCCAGGGGAGTGCAAGTCCGAAAAGTGAAGGCCAAACAGACTTAATTGAAGGTGAGGATCCAGGACTGACCTGAGAGAGCAGACTAAGGAGGGTGTCAGGAGAAGCTGAGACCACCCAAGAGATGGTGACAACTTGTCTATGCTGGCAGAACTATCCAGTGCTAACAGGTTTCAGAGTAGCAGCCGTGTTAGTCTGTATCCAGTGCTAACAGTTACTGCTAGCAGCAAGTATAGCCACAGGCAAACTGAGGTCAGAGCTGTGCCAGCCCACTGATTAGGGATTAACTATCATTAATGAATGGTGATTTGTGTATCAAAGGTTGACTAAAGTCAGATATTTTTCCTACTACTGCAGTATCTTCTTCCACTAAGGGACTGATTTTTCAGAACTCCTCAGCAACTTCAGTTCCGATAAATGTCCAAGGGTCTGCAGCTGCTCAGTGCCCCTGAAAACCAGGCTGTATTCTGCAAGTAGTTACACTGAACTATTGTTAAAATAGTGGTAAGAGGAACAGAAGGATTTCTATCGTCGATGCCAGGAAATGAACTGTAACCAGAGCCTGGATCCTATTGTATCTGTTGCCTTAATGACTCGAACAACAAACAAGCATATAATTACATAGAGAGGTTCACTCTGCTCCCCTAGAATAGTGGCACTGACAGTAATCAGAACAGCTATAGAACAGGTCTAAAAAGTACTTTAGACTATGGCAGGCCAACTTGTTCATTACAATATAAAGCATTGTTGGCTCATTTGTATGTTGTGATCTCTTCCCCCCCCACCCCCCATGCCTGCCTTCAGAGAATTTATTTCATGCATTCTGTTTAAAAAGAAAAACATTACTAAGCTACAGGGAGTGTGTGTGTGTGTGTGTGTGTTCCTTCAGTATATCTGTTACATGCAGGGAAACGAGTCCTGCAAAAAAGTTCAATGACACTAGTGTCGTTATAGTGGTATATGGTACTTACTAGAATAGTATCACAAGTATGAAATTGAATTACAAATTCAAATATGCTTTCAGCTGTGTTATAAAAGTGGCGAAACTGTGTGAAATCTGTGCTTGGCAGCAAACTACAGTAATTCGATAATTAAATCATATGAAAGTCCCAAGCTGTAGCCAAATCCTATTTGTGGATGTGCCTTTCATTTTTGGAGCTGATGTGCTGAAATATACTTCGACATAGATGCAGCCTGGGGTGGATCCAGGGGGTGTTTCAGTAGAAGGCTGCAGTTATCCCGTGTGGGTTCTCCTCCTGCTAATTCCTAGTGCATCGGCAGCCTGGGGCACAAAGAAAGCCTGGGCTAGCAGCAGAAACTCCCCAGTAAGAGCCAAGAGCGGCAGCAGCAGTGCAGGGGCTGAGGCCTGGCTGGTCCTCTTGGTCCAGATGCTGGCAGGGAGGACCATCCCCACTGGACAAAAGGTATCAGCAGCCTCTCGAACTGTGAGGGATGGAGGAAGAAGAGCAGCATGAGCAGGGGAAGGGCCCATATGTGGGAACAGCCACAGCAATCCCCATGTCCTTGGGGATGTCAAACTGTACACCTGTAACTTGACCTGTGGCCTTTATATATTTATTTATTTTTACAAACTGGTGGTTTGTTCCAACCCCCATTTTCTATCACAGACCTTCTGCCACCAGACCTGTTCTCTTCACTCTCCGTGCTCCTCTCCATCCTTCCCTCCCGCGTCCCCTTCTCCTCGGGGTCTGTTGTCTTCTTCCTTCTCTCCTGATCCTTTGAGTCTAACTCATCCCCACCAGCCGTTCCCCTCATCCCACCTCTGCCCTCCACGCTATTTAAAAAGAAACAAAACCAGTGTGATATAATCCAAAGAGCTATATTAAAAGAACATGAAGTTTGTGAGATCAAGAGTTAGGAAGTGCCAGAATTCAGGTCCCCATGCAACCTTAATGTTCTTTTAACATGTTTTTTTTAAATGTAATTTCCAAAGTTTTTTTTTAAAAAAGCAAACTTGAAATACAGGAATTCTTTCATGTGGCCCCATATTGATCCCCAGCTTGGGGCATCAGGAGGATTCAGAACCACAGCATAGACCTCTACCGCTTGAGCTAATGGAGTCCCTGTTAGAGCCAGCCACTAGAGCGGGATGAGACATATACTTAGCCAGTGGGTTTCAAAGGTGTTTTCTGACAACAGAGGAATGTAGAGACTTGGAACTCATGTGTTCAGTTCCAGGTTTTGGAGGGGAGTGTGCTGTAGTGGCTATAAACTATTCTGCCCCTGTGCCCATAACCTGTCTCTGTCTCACTCTGCTCCTATCCATAGAGCCCTGCGTGGATTACAAAATTTATATCTGTGCATATAAATCTTGTATCCACAGAGGGATCTGCATAGCCAACCCCCCATTCCTTGGCTCATGTCCTTTTGTTCTTTGCACCTATCAACTCCTTCACCTTCTGTGGCTCCAGTCCCATTCTCCTTCTGCATGTATGTATTCACTCCCTCTCCTAGTTTCTACCCACCCACCCCCATGCCTATCACTCCCCCTACACTCCAGCTTCTGCTTCTCATTCCTTCTGCTCTTATTGACTCCATCACCACTTAGTTCCTTCCTCCCTCCCCCTTTGCTCCAACACCCTGTCCTCTGGCTCCTGCAACCTTCCCTCCCTCTCTCCCCGTCTCCCCCCATTTACTCCTTTCTTACTCCTCTGCATTCAGATCACATGTTTCTTCCTTCTCCTCTTCGCTGCCTGGGCACCAATCATGGGAACATTGAGAGCGCAGAGGAGTGGCTTTCAGTTTCTGTGTGCAGTGCCACTGCTGTCCCTAGTAGTCAGGATGAGCAATTGCAGAGAAAGTCTTGGGGCAAGTCTACATTACAAAATTAATTTGACGTAAGTTACGTCGACGTACAGCCACTGCAGTAATTGAATCAGTTGTATAGGTCCACACTACACTCCTTGTGTCAGCGGTGCACTGCCTCACTAGAAGCGCTGTCAGTGTGGGGCATCATGGGACAGTTTCTGAAAGGCAGCCGCAGTCAATGGAAGAAATGCAGTGTCTACAATGACACTGCATCGACCTAACTACATCAACTTAAGCACTATGCCTCTTGTGGCGGTGGTGTTTAGTCGATTGTAGTGGGCGAGTTACATCCGTGGGAGTTACGTTTCAGTGTAGATGCTTACAGAGTTAAGTAGACGTAAGCTGCCTTACGTCGACCTAACTGTGGGTACATCTACACTACAGGGGGGAGTCGATTTAAGATATGCAAATTCAGCTACGTGAATAGCGTAGCTGAATTCGACGTATCGGAGCCGACTTACCCCGCTGTGAGGACGGCGGCAAAATCGACTTCTGCGGCTTTCTGTCGACGGCGCTTACTCCCACCTCCGCTGGTGGAGTAAGAGCGTCGATTCGGGGATCGATTGTCGCGTCCCGATGGGACGCGATAAATCGATCCCAGAGAGGTCGATTTCTACCCGCCGATTCAGGCGGGTAGTGTAGACCTAGCCTGTGTAATGTAGACCATGCTTTAATCAGCCCCTGCAACTCTGGGATGGAGCATGCTCAGAGCAGACTCTAACAAGTTTTTACTGTGTGTGACGTGAGATTTTTCAGTGGTTTATTACTTGGTCAAATTTTAGATAGGTTTTCACAAAGATAGTTAAAGACACATCAGTGGCACCAACATGACCCCTCCAGCCAAATTTAAAGACCCTGGCCTGAAGCATAAAGGTGCTAGAGCTTCTCAACAAAACAGCTGTAAGAATTTTTGTTTAAGGAGGCCAAAATAATTTATTTTCTCTAATCTTGTTCTCAGAAATGGCTGCACTATTTTAGCTGGAACTTTCCATTAAATAAATTAATTAATAAGTTCAGCCTGAGGCAGACATCCAGCATGGGAAACTGCAGCCACAGTGGTAAAAGACTGTCAAAATTATAAGCAACTGAAAACAGGATCTCATAATGGGAAGTGTTGGGCAGCCTTAACAAGCGGTGTCACTACTTGTGTCACCTGTAATAATAATAAAAAATATAAAACCTAACATGACATGTGCCTTCCATTGCCCTCATCGTCTTGCTTTTATCATTGAGGCAATGTGATCTAGTGCACTTTGACTCCAGAGAAATGGATTCTGTTTCTGACTTTGCCACTGGCCTGCTGGGTGATCTTGGGCATGTCAGGTCACCTCTGTTCCTCAGTTTCCCTATCTGTAAGATGATGGTTATCTCTTTTGTTAAGTTCTTTGAGACCTATGGTAAAAAGTGCTATATAAGAGGTATTTTATATATATATATATATTCATTTATGTTACCCTTCCTTGACCTCTGCTCCAACCTCAGGGTTCAAATATGTATGTATATGAGCTATAAATAAAGAGAAAAGTTCCCAAGTCCAGATGCCTTGCACCACAGCATATTTGTGTGTCTCAAACTACCGTGCTGGCCTACATTAATGTAAATCAAAACACTGATCCCACACTGAGCGATTACATATACAAAATGCCTTTTAAATGATTTGGTATGGAATTTAGCAGCTGCAAACTTTTAGAATTCCATACAATTTAAAAAAAAGAGGAACATTTCCCAGCTTTTCTGACTAACCTTGCAGCTGTTGCCTTCGGCTCTGTTTTTCCTCCCACAGTTTTGAAATAGCGCCTACTGCCTATCACAGCCTGAACACACTGGACACCCAGAGCCTTATCACTAAAGAGCTAACTTTCCTCTCAGTGTGCATCCCAATAATGTTAATGGGGAGGTAGGAGTGCACAGTAGAGGACAGATTAGATAATTCAAATCTGGAAAGCCAGAAGCAATGTATTGACTTGTCTATTTAGTTCCTTCACTGACTGGAAAGATGAACAGTGACATAACAAGCCTTTTCTATTTCTGATTTCTATTTTCCTTGTTACAATCTTCCTAAATCAGCTTCTGTGGTGGTTTTGTTGCCTTGAAAATCCACTTGCATCTTTACTGTCTTTGCAAGACTGGGTGACTATTCCCAGGCATTTTAGGCAGCAGCATTTTTTTTCAAGTTATACTGTTAATGCTCTTATGAAAACTGTTGTGTTTTTGTTCAGTAAGGTGGAAATCCAGATAGGGTTTGGGAATAAAATTTTGAAGTCAGTGGGAAGTGCTTAAGTCATTAGACTCCTAAGACACTTAGGCACTTTTGAAAATTTTACCCTGTATCTAGAACATTGCTAGGATCACAGAATCATTCTCATGCCTACACAGATCCTAACTGTGCTAACTGGACAGAGCCTCACTTACTACTTTTCATGTAGGAGAACACTTTT